CCTTCAGACCATTGCCTACCTTCCTGTCTTGGTTCCTCTTGACTCCCAGCTGACATGCCCTGCTTGGAGCAGTCTGTGGAGCTTCTCTGACTGTCTCCTCCCCCGTCAGGCAAGTACAGGCCATCATATCATGGGTGACGCAGGCTGTGCTCTCATGGAGAGTGAACAGATCCTGAAAGTAACAAAAGTGAAAGCAATTTTCATCTTTGTACATTTCTCTCTTAAGGTCACTTTTTACTTCCGTCTAAAAGTGCAGGCACGAAATTTGTAAAGTGGTAATACATCTTTGAATTCTATACATGCTATTCAAATTAACTTTCATTATTGGGCCTGACATTTGATTCACCATCAATAATTCTGCAAAACTCTGCACTACAACACTATAAGACACTCCACTATAACCAGTTAAATTTAGATGGTAAATGACATTAATATTTGATTCCCAGCACAAGTTTTCTCAACTTCACCGCTAGCAAATGACACAACATGAGCCCTGCGTGCCATTCATTAGCAATGACTGGTAATCATTCAATCAAAAACAAACACAATATCTCAGAGAGGCACCCAGAAAGGACAACTTGATGCAATGCTGAAGGGATACATTGCCCAGGACTATGAAACGGCAGGACACTTTGAACTTGGTCCATTGCAGCATGGCTGGACTCACACAAGTTTACAACTAATGAAGTGCTCGGTGAAAAAGTTCCGAGTCATGTAGACGATCATTCTTTTCATGAGGCTATTACGACCAAAAATATACCACGCATTTTATGAAGTCTGACCCCAAGTTGCTATTAATTCATTCTAAGTGGATTAAACTGAGCTCACCCTGAGATCTTCCAGGGAGAATTTGACATGGCCATGGCTCTTAGCATCAACCACCGCCCCACTCAGACCCTGCTTGCTGATCTGTCTCTGGTACACCTTCTCCTCGATCGTACCCTTGGTAACAAATATTAAACAATAGAAACTACATTAATAGAATAGATTCTGATTAGGACTTGGGAGGCAGAACTTTTTGGGGGGGGGGTTACAGCAAGAGGGAGGAGAAATGTTCCGACAGAGAGGGACTAGTCGAAGAAAGGAGACTCAGCTCCTGTCGTTTCTTTTGGAGCTTACCGTCGTGATGAGTCTGTAGATATGCACCTGTCTCTTTTGACCGTCTCTCCACACTCTGGCCATTGCCTACAAATCATAGATAATTGCTCAGAAATGTGAATCTCTGACTTAACCACTTGCTGCCGGGCTCAATTCAAATGGCCGTGCACAAATAGAGGCGTTTTTCAAGATTTTCCATTTTCAAATTCTTCAAAAATTCATTACATGTATTTCGTTTACTGGACGTTTACACCCACACAAACGACTGTCTGGTGGCTACTCTAATCTGACAGGCAACATCTATTGATGCCCGAGTATTTCAGCCAGGCCTGCCACCTTGTAAAAAAAGCCCAGATTGTGCGGTGTTACATAAGTTTCTTTTGTTCCCAAAACTGGCACAGTGTGCTACTGAGGTCTTTTTAATAGGGGCCAGATTAGCATGCAGCGGTATTGTATCGCTCATCACTGGAGCGCTTTTGTCTGCTGAATGCCACAAACAGTGGTATAATCATTCAAAACAATGACGGATTTCCTCCGCTATTGACAATTCTCAGCAGCTCGGTGTTTTGTTCAGAGTACGGTCTTTTGTTACAAGGCCCAGTTCTTTTGTCTGATTACGGGCAACCCTGGCTATGCATACCAACCCAAGGTACCCGAAACCGGGCTCCCTGGCACGAAGTGGTTAACACCTGAGGTAATTCTACACCCCTACAACCTGTTTGTCCTGCCATTACTTTTGTCTTAATCTTCGTCCAAGGAGAGATGTATACCTGCAGGTCATTGGCTGGATTCCAGTCGATGTCATAGAGCAACAACCTGGATGCACCAATCAGATTCAAGCCAACACCTCCAGCTTTGGAACTTAATAAAAACACAGCTGTAGAAAAGAATTATTACCGAAATTTTGGTACCGGCAATGTAAGCACAATGACATTACAACAAATTATGTTCCCATGACAAAACAAGTAATACCCAAAATGACCAACTACATTTTTTCTTTGACATACTTCTGGCTTTAGACAAGCACTCCTCCTCACGCAAAGCTTCTAGTTCAAGATTTTCTTTGGCATGGAACTTAAAACAACATCAAAATCAACTCAATTTCTAATTTCATCAAGTTGTTAGCACCACGTGGCACTTTTGCATAGCAATGATCCATTGACTGTCAAGATTGTCTTCAGGTAAAAAAAAAACACTCCTCTTATGGTTCAAGCACAAAGGTGTTCCCAATGGAGAAGGCATGCAGAGAAACCTACTTTCCTGTGAATAGGAGCTATTGAAATGTTCCACAATCTCCTGGCGTCTTGCGGTGGGTGTGCTCCCGTCCAGGCGACAGAACTTGTATCCCTCCTGCTCGCAGAGCTTCTGCAGAAAGCCTAACGTCTGTGGGGAAGGATCAAAGGTTATCTTAGCGTCCCCCCCAACTTAGAGTTGAACTACGTGCATTATCTTCTTGGGTGGAAACTCTTTGAATGGGAAGGGACTAGAATATAGCGCATAACTATTACCGTCTCTGGTAAAACTGCAAATGCTGATTAATTACTGCTTATTATTTTTTAAAAGTCTCGGAATTACGTGACAGCTCGTAGTTTAACGTCAGTGGTGACCCTGCTTACTGGCCCGGGCAAAGAACAGTCTACAAGGAACTGTTGATTAACCCCTCGACGACAGGAATTTTTTTCCGAAAGCCGTCTCTAAGAATTCCAGCCTCGCTTGGCCAAAAAGACCACCTGCCAAACCGCAAATTCTCGGTTTGTGGCCCTGCGTGCTCTGCACGCTTTGAATTACACAGTGAAAAGGCCAATCACCATATTTACAAGAGGCAGGGTCTGCCTTCTTTCACTGTGTTCGCTCGAGCATGGGCCGAAAATAATAGCTGAAAAGCGGGCTGAGGATCTCAATTTTTACGGCGGCTCTACCCGCGTCCCGGCGCAAAGGGGTTAAAACTGGTTGTGCTCCTTGTCTTACCTGCGTATAGTTTGACACCAGAACAATCTTCTCGGATGGTCCATTTTCATGCAGCGAGCAGAGCAGATCAGCGAGCACTTGCATTTTACCCGAGTGCTCCATGTCAACACTGTCTACTGTGTAGTTGTCCGGGAAAAAAGGCAGTAAATCTTTGTATAACGACTCCTGCAAGACAGAAACAAGACAAATAAACCCACTGCATTGCATCCTCACTTTTTAAATCAATGGAGTTTAGCTTGTATGAATAGTTTATTTAAGACTGCTGTGCTCAAGTTCCTCAATAGCATCAATTTGCATTTGAGACAAAAAGCTACAGTGTGCAGTTTCAAGTCAACTCGAGGGAAAAAATATCATTAAAATTGCAAACAAATTTGTGTAAACTTCCACCGTTAGAAAAATCGTAACTATTGTGAAGCCAAAAATAGTTTCGACTACAAGAACTTTGTTTTAGTGTGTGACGAATGTTAACGAAGGACAAACTGATATTTTCTTCTGGCAAAATAAAAAATTGAGAACAAACACAAAAGCTATAAGAAAAAAGAAAAAGTGCGAATGAGTGAAAATGGGGAAAACAAGCAGACCTCAGGAAGCAAGGTGAACAGATCAACAGAAATGAGATACGGCATAGAGGGTTTGCATGGCTGCTGTCTTCCAGGCCGGTGCTTTTGTTCTACGGGGTATGCACAAAAGAGGTTTCCGTGTGGGAAAAAAGAACTGCCATGCAAGATGGCTACCGCGCAAAGCCTCTATAATGGAGTGAAACAGTAAACATGGTGAGAAGGATGGGTGACGATGAGGAAGTGGAATAAACACAGCAAGAAAGGACTGATTAATTAATTAATTAACTTCAGAAAATTCAAAATAAACAAACTCTTCTACTGCACTTGTTCAATTCGCCATCAAAAAACTAAAGATATCGCACAAAGACAGTGAGCTCACCTCCGCAAGGAATCCATCGTCCACTGAACCAGTCTCTCGATGTTCCGTGTCAGCGTCCAAGCAGGCTTGATGCAACAGCCCTGGGTGGTTACATAGCTTCTTCAAGGCTGTAATGCAGACAAGGTGGGGCGAGGAGAATGATGCCTCAGCATACTGGCTGGAGGCGGTAAGACAGCTGCGGAGGACCCTGGAGCTCAGGAGCCACTGGTAGAGGAGGAGCTGGAGAGGGCTGGGTTTGCAGAAGACCACAGTCTCCACTGGAAGGAAAATCCACCAGACAACACCGTTAACCCTCAATCCCGTCCTACAAATCCTCAAAGATTGAACAGGAAGCTCTGGGAAGACTTTGCCGTTACTTTACATGGGACTTGATGGCCCATGAAAGATGCAAAGAATGCATCATTGTTTTCATGCACAGTGGAGGAGTTTGGAGGATTTAGGACGGTTCTAAGCAGAAAATTTTGATTAGCTGTCTCATACCTTTTGGAGGTAAGTACTTATTGTTGATTTCCTGTGTTCTTCGGAGAACAAACAAACCAGTCAGTCTCGACAACTGAATAAAGAGAAAAGAATCTGTAATGAAAATCACTCCAAGTCAACATTTATCCTATCAT